AACGCAATTACGTGTTCTACTCACTGATCCGCAGCCTCCTACCGAATTTCCTCCATTTTTCGTGCCGACTTCCGCCGCTTGGCAACGAGCGCTCGCGCGTGCGCAGGTCCATTGGAGTAGTGACGCCAGCTACTATCAGGAGGTTGACCAATTCAGAAATTTTGTGAAAAAGGTGACAGCTGCTTAGATATTTAATGGTCAGTTTTCGCGTTTTTAATTGAAATTTTAATATTCCGCACATCGGTGAAGAACTATTCGGTCTGCATTGTTTTTATATCTGGACATACAACAGACGAGGCCGACGCCCAGCATGCATTCTCAAACTAGAAAAGCAGACGATGTAGGCCTGCACCCGTCGGCAATTCCCTGGGAAGAAGTAGAGTAAAACTAAGACGTCAGTGTTATTACATTAAGGGAAAAAATATATGGATGCATGGAAGTCAGAATAACGCCCACTTCAACAAAATAAGACGTGCTTTCAGGAGAGTTTTGAAGACATTGCAGCAGCGTCTCATACCGTTGACGCCTCGCAGGCGAACGCCGTCGTGCGTCGCCAACGAGGAGGCGCCGGGAGGCATGCTCGGAGATGCTCATCTTTAACATATCATTTCTCAGTAAAAGACAAAAAGTACTTCTCTATTTTTTTTATATTTTCTAAACGAATGAGGTGGATTTAACTTTTAACTATTTCTAAATTTCCGGGCACCGCTGCCCATATTGACTTTTCTGGCTCTCAATGTGGCCGTTTCTGCATGAACTGGATGATTAGTCATTTAATAAAAACGCAAAAAAACGAGTCTTTGAAAATTGAACACGTGAAATTCAATTATTAGTGCTATGAGAACAAACAAAAACAATCGTGTAGCTAACACCCAAATCAAAGTTGAATAAAAATATTTTAAAAAATCTCACAAAGTATCTCTCTTTGGAGCTCCTATTTGCACCCAAAATGGCATCTTTCAGTGTTTGTATTTTAGTGTAAGATAGGGAATATTATGAAGTAATTACGCGGCCACCTAGATTTGTGTGGAGGCAAACCATTTCTTCACGGTGTTTTTCTTAATTACACATGAGTGTGATGCAAATTCCAGAAATTTAGAGCATAATATTAGTAAAAATAATTATTGTATTCTTATAAAAATAGGATTTTTCTTGGAGTTCAGATGCTTCTTTATCCAAATTAATTTTTAGTACATAGTACATATCCCAGACATGAAAAAATTTATCACGTCTCCCTTGGCATGGAATGACCGTACCGACCACGCACTGTCACATTCTTTGAGTCATTTCCCACTCCTTCAAGGTGCGATGCCGCAATTCTCGTACTTTGCGCAAATACCGCTTAGAATGAATCCCTTACGTTAATGACCTATGAAACACGCGTTCGTTTTTCATCCCACGCCATAGATGTCCCAGAAAACAATTAAAGAAAAACGAGCATCGTTCAACCCCTCAACTCGCTGCCAGAACAAGCGGCCGCGTGATCTGGAGCCGATTATACCGCCAATGTTGATAATAGCCGCGCGCTGGGGTTGGCAAAGCACAGGACACGCGCTCAGTTCCAGATATTGTTATGACTCGGCTATTGTCGTCGTTGCAGCGATTGGACACGGGCCACTACCCGAATGCTTCTCGAGCTAGTAAGTATCACGAGCTTAAATCGAGTGCCCACGCAATGCTCGGGTCCAATCTATAAACCGCATTCAGATATCGTCATTGTGGTGTACTGCGATCCCCACGTTACGTCATCAAATTTTGCAAAGGAGAGATTGAATGAAAATGGTCACTTTTGTCCTTGAAATTACACCGCAGCAAAGGAGTTTCTTGGCCAGTGACGTTGTGTGCGAGCAGGAATGGTCAGTATTTCAAATACAAGTATTTGAAATACGTATTTTAAATACTTTGTGTATTTTTCATTTGTATTTAAATACAAATTGGGTAATGTATTTGACGTGTTTATTTAAATACTAAAACGTGGGTATTTCAAATACAATTGTAATTAAATACAATTTTGTGGGAAAAATACATCCCTCAAATTTATCGTCACTGTCTAGAGCAGGAAGAAAACTACATTCTGCACCGAATGCAGTGTCTCTCAATCAAGCACAAGCGTTTAGTGACTTTGTGATTACGGTGATTGTCAAGGGCAAGAATAGTGACGAAATCGACGTTCACAGGCAGACTGGCTAAATAAGTGCCTGTGACAACTTGTGATGCTTTCCAGCCGGATTTCCATCCATATTTTGGCCTGGAACATTCTAAATGCGCGGGTCGTCCAGATTTTCGTAACTGGTTCGAGTTGCAACAGTAAAACATTCTCTAGCTAGTGCTGCGCGTCTTGGTCGTCTCGGTTCTTTGTTGGTCTATACCAAAATGTAATCGACAAAAAAAGCTGCTTGAAGCTCTGTACTTTTTTCACCTATTACGTCCAAGCTGATTACATTTTTTTGTGTGTGATTATATTTCTATTACGTTACTAGAGCCTCGCACACTAACTCCCGAGTGTGCGATGCAAAATTAAAATAAGATACCCAGAAACTCGTTGCAAATGCCCTGAAGTCGCTGACGCAAATTTTGAGGAATATATTTGGAAAAGTATTTGGAGGAGACCAAATACATTTGGTTGTATTTGTATCTTGTACTTAAATGCTTTTTTGAAAATGTAATTAGATTTGTAATTAAATACATTTTTGACGAAGTATTTTGTATTTCTATTTCGATACATATTTGCATGTATTTTGCCCATCCCTGTGTGCGAGCATCCTTGAGTCCCACTAGTGCCAGTAAGCTCGTGTAAAGTGAAAAAAACATTCTAACTGAATATCGTTGCACCGCCCCTTTAAACTAGTAATTTCATTACCGGAATCAAGAACCAAATATTATGTTTATAAAATACCATGCAATCAACTGAGTGGATCCGTTCTAATATACAATTCGTTAAAAAAGGGTTATCTCAAGTTTGTATTATTATACTTATAAATAATTTGATTACGCTTTATATTACATGCGAGAGCGTATACTCTGAACCTTGCATTGTATCCCGAAGTTTCATTTTGGTTTCATTTCATTGTGGATAAGCTAGTTAATAACAAAATGTAGCTAGTATCGATAGTTATTGAGGATATAAAACATGGAATCTTAACATTCTCAGTTATTCGGGCATGCTTTAATTACGTATGGAGAAACCAGATTCCTGCGACCTCACCAGGCGGGGACTGGGAGAAAAAGAACGAAATGGAAGCTTCATCAAAGAAACATCTAGCAGATGCCGCTTCGCCTTTGTCGGCACACTAAATATCTTCCTTAATTAAACGTTGATTAATACATTTTATATTCGTGTAATTAATGAACGCAAGCAAATTATGTCGCCTACAAAAAAAAATAGCTGGCAACAGAAGAACTAGGCAATAAATTACCCTATGACGGCTGCACATTTTATGTAGTCGTAAGGTCAAAAAGCCGTTCGACCACAAAGACCTTCCACTGAAGACTTTTTTATATTTTTAGGCCTATATTTCATAGTTTCACTGTTTTAGCTACCAGGCGTAGTAAGATGTTGACGCACAACAGTGAATGCCGTTGGAAAAGTTGACAGTACAATTGTGCAAATTAAAGGTTTAGTCTGAACACTGCGTCATTCATTACATTTATAACCTTTGCAGCTCAAAAGAAAGCCAGGGCAACCTGAAGCTATAGATGACGCTGTGCTATACAATTCCTTGCACCATTCGCACACCCCCACTTTATGCCTCGCATTTTGAACGCCTTATTCTTTGTGCCTAGTGGGAGTATTGGTTAAGCTCACGTAATAAAAATATTGACTGCGGTGCGACGTTACGTTTTGTGACTGCTTCATCACTAAAACAAATGACGCCAAGATGCTATTTTACACACCCATGCTGCGGTTACGCCCGACTTACTTCAAACGCTTACGTCCAACCTCGTTCACTCCTATGTGTTCTATGTGTTTTCATCCTGTTGTCCTGTCTTTTGTGCGCTATTTTTCATCATGTCTTCCACTCTCGACTACTCTCGCTAACTCTTATGTTCAGAAAGCGCAATCACATTGTTGGCTCTGCTGGCCATATACCCTTTCTGCTTCGTTAGTGCAATCAAACTTCGGATGTTTAAAGCTCATTGGACACGACATTTTTTTTTTTTTGCAATTTTAGTCATTGGAGCGAAAATCACGTATAACCTGCAACCCTCCGAGGCTACAGGCATGAAATGAAGCCATCGTAAATGAATTAAATGAGAAAGCAACGATCGGTCATAGCCTCCGACAGCACACCACCACCTAAAAAGTTCAATTTACTAGTTTTATCAATCACTGCTAAAGAAAGGAGTGCGCAAAGGCGTCGCAGATTGAACGTTTGGTGTTTAGACACAGTGAAATCAGTCTGCCAACGTTTGGTCAAACTGGTTCATGCTTCAGACGAGAACTTTAGCCAGTGTAGTACCACTGCTAGTTCGCGCTCTTTGACACGTATTAAGCACGTGCACTCGCGTTTAGTTTGTCCAAAACGTTTTCATTGAAAAGCGTAAAAGCAATTTATTTTTTATATATAAAAAAAATTACAACCTATTTGTTCACAAAGCGCAAACATGCAAAAAGAATGTATCTCGCTCTTATAAACCAGCTGCTCGTGCGCCAGGTGTATTTGAAATGAAGAGGATCTGTAACCAGGAGGAAGATACATTTATACATACACGAGTGGCGAGAGGCAAACGGTGCACTGGTGTTACCGGCATCGGCGAGACCCGAAGCAACCGCAGTGATGCTTATTGCTTTAATCCTGTTAATTAATGGTAAATACGTGCTCCCTACAAGGACATCTTTCTCATCTAGCTGACCAAGTAATAGTCCCTGTATTTCGTCAGGCTCACAAATTAAGTGGTGAAGACCACGGCATGACTTCACAAAACTCTCGATGTCCTCCTTCCAGGCAGTGGTTCGCGCCGAACAACCGATTGGCGTTCATCTGTAACGGAGCACTCACGTTCTCGTTGGAGGTTTCCGAAGAGTCCGGCTCGTGAAAGAAGTAGGTGGGACCGGGCTTCTTGGTGTCATAGCGCATAGGCCTCCTGAAAGCCGGGTCCTGCCGCAGACCGATGTCCAGGACTTCGTCCTCGTCGTCCGGTCGGTACGGCTGGTCCTTGGGGAAGTCCATCCAGCCTAGCAAAGAATCGGAGACACATAAACCGTCGTACTTGTGTTGTCTGTACGTTTAGAGAGCGGGAAGTTAGTCAGCCCCAACGGGCGTCTGTTGTTTTTTGCTGTAGTGAAGAAAATTTGCCAGTGTAATGCCACCGCTAGCCCGGGGTCTTTGACGTGCATCACGCAGTAGCGGCGCACGACTGCGCGCCGATACGATGCTTCATTCAGATTGGAATGAGCAGTGGTGGGGACTGTGTTCAGGATCCCTGGGTTCTTCGGCGGGAGCATTTACTCCATGTGCTCCGAGCTGCAGCGCGTTACCGCACCCGCGTACTGATCCCCTGCAACCGTGATCAACATCAAGGCAGAAAGTACAGTGAAAGAGCCCTAAAGCCTCCCGCTGCCGGCTGTCACTAACTGAAATACCGCCCATAAAGTGATGAAAAGCGTTTGCCCTGTTGCTGATATTCTAAAGGATTTCGTTTTTTCTTAAACTTACGGCACAAATTACGTGTGTATGGGGCAGTAAACTTCTGCGGCTGTTAAGGAGCTCAAATTATGTAGAATCGTATTGGAAACGATTGACGCTATCTGAGATTTTTGCATTATGCATACCGACTAATTTTTTTTTAATATTAAAAAATATTTTGGTTCATTCGCGTTCAAAGGCGTAGCAGTTTATTGTTCGGAATACGTTTATGACGGAAACGGCTAATCCGTCCCACTATAAACCGTCTTGCCAGGGCCGTTTTCGGTGTTGGTGCGATTGGAGCGTCTTTGGCCGCCTTATAAACTTAACTTAGAATTAAGAGAGCGTGTTGGTTAAACATATTGGTATGTGAGCGCAAAAGGAGACAAGAGACACAAAAAAACACCTCAGACACGGACGTGTTTTTGTGTGTCTTTAATTGTCTCCTTTTGCGTTCGCATACCAAGACTTTAGAAAATCACCGGCAAGCTCGTACAAAGCTGGAGACGTTTCAAGCTCCGCTGCGGATTTCAAAACGGCGAATTAAAGTAAACTGGGGCCTGCAGACAGGCCCAGATTCAAAGTGTAGGTAGGCGATATGGCTGAAATAACATTGGGGCATCCGAAGAAGGTTCCAGGACCAGCAACGTTCAATGAACATTGAGCGCGGTATTAGTGTCGTTTCGCGGAATACGTCCGTCTGGTGTGAGACAGGTTTTTGTCTTTTTTGACAAAGGGTAAATAAGCTTTTATACAAAATCGAAAAAAAAAATTTTGAAGCATCTACATTCTCGTAAAGCACTCAAAAGAGCCAATCGCTGCCATATACGGAAAGGGCTTGGCGAGTGAGGAATCTGAAAATATGTTTTGCCTGAAGAAAAAAAGTCTATTTTGTGCCACCAAACCTGGCGAAACGCCATGTTTAGTGCCACAACGCAGAATATAGCTTTTATTTTTTTTATCTTCAAAGTGCTTTGTAGAAAAGTAGACTCCTCAAAATTTAGAGAAGGCAAAATGTAATTTTTTTTTTCTGAATCTCTTTTCTTTTTTCTTTAATGCGACCTTTTTTATCCAGTTTTCTGTAAAACTCTTGTAGTAAAATGTTATAAGGTGCTGGGACCCGTCCACTGGAGAGAAAGGGCTCACACAGGGACAAGGCGACTGACATAGCGAAGCAGTTGAAACGCGAATCGAGCGTTACGCGCGCATATCGGATCTGATTTCGGGAACACCTACCAAGTGTCAAAACATTGAAATTTCGAAACCGAACAGGCTACAAGTGCTCGTTTATAGATAATTCTTGCGGCCACGATCTGTGACTAACCCATTCTGAGAGAATTGTCGCCGCTTCCCTTCCACCCCTGTCGTTCCGGTTCCCAGGGCGCCGGCAGCTGCTGTTGCTGCTGCTCAAGATCCGAAGCCTCCGACGCGTCGCCCGAAACCAGGGACGAGCTCGAGTCGCGGGAGTCTCCGGGAACCTCCGCTGTAGAGCCGCCCTCCGCCGTCTGGGGTGGACCCCGCGAGAGGTCGTCGTTTTCGCCGGAGACGGGAATCCACTCAATTCCGCCCTCCGTAAAAATGGGCTTCTGGTCCAGGTCCGACGACAGTTGCGTCTCGACTACGGGAACCTGCAGAAACGACGGTAACGATTAGCAAACCTATCTCTACTAATTATGCGGCCCATGCCATTCTCGATTATGCATATCTCGCTTCTCACAAGTGTGCGTGGTAATGACATAAGAAACAGTGCGAGCGTGCGGCTTTGTTAAGTCTCTTCCTAGACCGATTTCTCGTACAGAGAACGCGTTATCGTAAACTACGGCCGGGCTACACAACAGCTTTTCTTGCGGCCTTTGCTGTTGCTTAAAAGCAATGGTATTGTTTTCTAGCCGCGTGGGGGCGCGACCAGGTCACCCCTCTAAGTGATTGCAGAACCAGCTTAAGCAACTGTTCTGACAACCGCAATTAGAACTGTATGTTAATGTACTCGTATAAAAAAAACTGCAATGTGCTGATTTAAACACTTTTGGCTTACGACAAATAAACTCTTTGTTTATAAGAAACCATTTCTTTTTAGAAGACAAAGAAGAAGCGTTTTGCCTAAGTCTACAGCACGATTTTCACTCTACCCCGGCCGTGGATCAACTGAGCAGCTTGAAGTACATGTAGCAAAAGCTCCCGGTGCACAACCTAGAAATTGTGGGCTCCACCTTCACCCCTGTCCGTTTCGATCTGGATGGTTATTGTGCAGGAGTGCGGTCGCGTGATCACTACTGGGTGATGCACGTTAAAGACTCCAAGCTAGCAGACTGCGATGGCTCAATTTCTTATCTGCAGGGAGAAACCATGCTCCGATCGGGGTTGGCTAACTACCCGTTGTCTAAACATACGCGCAAGACAATTATTTTTACAGTGGTTTCTGTCTGCATCACGAGAGAATAAAAAAAAAAGTTTAACATATGTGCCACTGCCTGGGTGGTGCATATACAATCAAATTTGTAGCCTGCGCGAACATGGGTTGCTCAAGCGTCTTGAATAATTCTATTTGTCTCGTCCCCTTTCCGAATGTTGCTAATTTTAATAAGCCACGTTGTTTTTATTGTACTTTTTCCTTCTGGGGTACGCGAAAAAGCGTCTCAAGGCTCGTCCGCTTCGCGCTCATAAGGTTTTCGGCTCTCATTTTGCCACGTACAATTTATTCAACTGTGTTCCTGTACTCACCCAAAACTATGAAGGGTGGAACCAACTTAAATAGCGAATATTGGGTCATGCTAGCTTTGTTGTGGTTTCACCAATTTAGGCACCAGCAGTCCCTATAATGTAAGAAAGAAGCTTAATAAAAAAAACGAGGTTGAAAGATAACATTTTTTTGTTTAAAATGCCTAGTCTTTAGTATGAAAGTGAACATCACGTTTCACATGCTACCTTTCTTACGTCCTTCTACGCCCCTGTTAACGTTAGCTCTCATGCCAACAAACAGCGGCCTACAAGAACGTCCCAGAAACCTCCCAAGGTGCTCGAGGATAATTAGAAAGCAACGCATACACACGAAAGAGCAAAACCTCACCCTGCCCAAACACGCGAAACATCTTCCCAACTTCTACACTCCCTACCATCATAAGCAAACACACACGCATAACGAAAATCTACCGGCAAACGAGACCAACCAACTAACTTGCAGGCTCGCCAACGCGAAAGCTCGGAAGAGGCAACTGTCAACCAGCGTACTCTCGCCTATTTGTTCTGCTCCTGCGAGGCACGCCAGCGGCTCATTTCGCGCGCAATCCCACTGCCGACTCTTACTCCGCGCGGGAAAACGAGCTTTGTCTATCCACCCCCACTTTATCCTCGGCACCCACCCGCCCGCCACCGATGCGTCGCCGGCATTTTTCCAGGTGAGCAACTCGCGCCGCCTGCATGTCTATGTTCTCTTCGCGAGCTCCTCCTCCTCTTCCTTCCTTCCCGTCCTTCTTTTCTTCTTCCCAGCCGAACACCCCTCAAAGCCCACAAACTAGCCCACTCGCTTACTCTCACACGTAGACGACAATTCATCGACAACGCGCCGCGAAAAAAAAGAAAAAAAAAAAGAAACACTCGTATATATATATATACGCTTTTGCTCTCAGCAGCAGACACGTAGAAACTTAGACTCCTAAGCACACACAAAAGCCGACAACCAAACGCACGCCTGCGCAAGAATGCTCTACTGTGTTCACACCTAATCTTGCAGTGCGGTAGGAGCTATGAGTTTGCCGGACCAACGAACCGACCCCCTTCCATCACCTGACTCCTCTCTCTGCTAGTGGATGTGGTAGAAAGCTTCATCACGTGACGAAAGGTAGACGCACCACCGCTCCAACAAGCACGTAGCTTCCATCCCACTGTCAGCTTAGTAAGGAGCGTAGAATAGTACGTATGCACGGGCCGAGAACGGGAGAGAGAGACGAGCCTCTTGTGTTCCCTCGTCGGTAGTACGACTTTGGCAACCGGTGGCTTCGAAATACCCCCCCCCCCCCTTTTCCCCAAATCTCTCTGGACGGAGACAAAAGCCACGGCGCCCGCAGTGCGTCTCCATGGAAACAGGACTAATGCGCAGCAGCCCAGGTATGCATAAGTGGGACGTGGGGGGTGTGTGTGCGCGCGAGCGAGAGTCGGGAGTGGACCAGAGCCAGCCCTTGCAGCCGACAGAGTCCATTATACCTGGTGCGGGTCGTGGAAGGAAGGCGAACGGCGCGGCGGCGTGGCCGGCGGCGCGCTGCGTCTACCCAAACAAACCGCCGACACCCGATTTGCGTACGAAGCCAGCGGCGCCGAATTTCCTACGATGCGAGCGCAACCTAGCTGAGTTTGTTCGTCCCGTCGAGCGACGGGACCGATATCGTTGCTTCACCATTGTTTGGCGAGGCCTGGCATTGGGCTCGTCGAGCCAGGCGGCGTTTTAGAGTTTGAGTTTCGTTCGTTTGAAATTCGTTATGGAGCCCGTCTGGAAATTTAGAAAACAAAATAGAAAATAACACTGAAATTAGGATTGCTAACGAGATTCAGTTCGGCATGCCGATTTAAAGTGTCCGAAAAACTGCGTGTGAAATTCAGTGAAGGCTCACACAGCTATAGTCACAGATCGCTTAAGAAGGGCAGAGTGTGGCGAATCCCCAATGTCTTATTACTCCGCAACAAACGAGACATCAGCCTATAAGAACGCCGAATAAAGAAGCAAGAGATTTGACCATAACTGTTAACCGTTTATTTTAAGTTATCGGTCACTATAATCAAGGCCGGCTGGGAAAACGGTCCGAATTATAATTTTTTTTTAATATGTAGTCGAGGGAGTTTCGATGCTACAGTGATTTATTAGAATAGCTTTTTTCATATAACAACTCTGAGTGAAGGAAACGCATCGATAGTACGAATCGCGTCAATGTCTGCAGTGGCTTATCGCTGCTGTTGCGAGATGCTGTTGATCGGCATCGCCCTGTTTTTCTGAGCAAACTCCGACAATAGTCGCAGTCCACATTTTTGGTGTGGACTATGATTACAATGTATTTGAATCGAAATAAACCTCTATTTTGTTTTTACTCACCTCTAGATATTGGCACTTGCACGACCTAGAAGGAACGCGTGTTCCCTACTTAAAGATTCGGTTTTACTGTTATCTTGAGTATAAAGTATAACGAGGTCAATGTGACCTTGCCAAGTCAGTCTCGCCCCTGCTCCCTCCCGAACATTCTAGGTAGAATAATCAAGGTAGATAAGGAGCTGACCGAGGCCTTGCCGATTCCTTCTCGGTGTTTCGCTCAAGCTACCCGTCACGTCGACGCTGCGACGCCCGTTTCCGCTTTTCCGACGCTCAATCTTTCTTTCGTTTCTGGCACAAGTTTGCCGATTAAACCTTTATTTTCCGTTTACACTCCTCGAACCTTTTATAATCTGCGACAATAAATTTCCGTATCGCACAATTAAAATAAACTCGATCCCACACAAAAAAAAAAAAGGAATTTCTGGAAACAACAACCGGTGTGGGGCTCCCGTTATACAAATAAGCATTATAACATGTGTTCCATGCAGAAACAGGAAAGTCAGACACCTTTGTCGTTAAGCTATTAGGAGTGTCTCATGCGCTTAAACCGGAGTAAAATATTTCCAGTAAAGGATTTTTTCAATTAATATTATTAATTGGGAAAGCCGAATTGTGAACTTTTCGGCTGTTTGGCTGCTTTCAAAGACACACCAAATTGTTTTTCAAATCTAAATTGTTCGTTTTTTGTTTGCTCTTTAGATATGAGTAAAAATATAAACTTTGTGTACCATAACCCTAGCCTCAGCAGCGTGCTCAATTGGCCAGACACAGATGATCGACAATATCAGGTTTAATGTTTGATTGCAGCCCGTTACCATCAAACCAAATGCAATCGGGAAATTTCTAGCAAGCCATATATTCATGCAGAAATAAGCAAAAATATCACAGGGCGCCATATAAGGCACATGCTTTGTTATGAGAATATATCATACCCCAACCTCCCCGGTGCGAGGTTTTACAACTTATAGAGTTGCTGAATCCAAAATCATATAATTCAAAGGTATTTTCATCTAACCTTTCGGCGGCATAGCGATATCTTAACACCAAAGCGGGCATTATGCTGACCAATAAAGAACTTAAAAAATAACTATACAAATACACCTGAACACAGAACTCCGGCCGAATAGGAGCGATAATGACGTCACCTATACACAAAGACAAACCACGCGAGACCATAAACCTACCGCCGCACCTTTTGAAATAAAACAACAACAAGTATAATGTATATGGTAGGTGAACATGATAGCGGGTGCAGGTAAGACATCCCAGTTTTACCCGCACATTGACGAGCGCGGGGTTTCCGTTTTACGATGTCCCAGCTCCAAAATACCACGGTCCACGAACGCGCGCACTCTATCATACCTACTCTCGTCTGCTCTCATCCAGCGTCCACGCTTCCAGTCGAATAACCCCACCGCGCGCGACTCCAAGCCCCAACATGGGAACAAACTCTCCGCTAAAAGCTAGAGTGTGGGGGGAATCGGGCTCTACCGCTTCCCTCCATACTATATCCTCTAGTGGACTGAGAACGAGTTGGCGAATGAATTGGCGGGATGGCGCCGAGCCGAAGAGGGAGACTGTACAGGGCGACTGGTCTACTCGTAGCCCTGCGGACGACAGTGCGGGGCTTAATGAGTCCGAAATGAACGCACATCACCCCACCCTGGGTCCGCGAACTTGGTGAGGAGATCGTAGTCCCCGCCGCCTCTCCGGTCGTCCGCCCCTTTCCCCTCTGGGCTGTAATCGCGACCCTCCGAAGAGAGGGAGGACAGAATTGCGCTGCCCCGAAAGTAGAGCGTGAGGATACGACCGTAAACTCGGCCGACAGGAAGAGGGGGGTGTAAGCGAATGCCTCTTACAAGTCGTCCGCATTTATAAAGAAATTAAAGACCCACCTCTCTTTGTTTTGTTCCTTTCGGTCCAAATGTCGCTGTAAAATGTTCTTGTAGCTTCTTGTTTTTTAAGGGAAGGGGAGGGGAATGCCCAGTAGAAATTTGCTCATGTTCTGGGCCGTCGTTCGCGTTGAACGCAGTATGGTGTTGCCCTGTTTCTTAATGATACACGTTTTGCATGGAAGAGAAACGGTTGGCCTCTAAGAAAGCCAACAGCGGCGCTTCGGAAATTATTATTTGGTGCTCCGTACCTGGCCCTTCGCACGTGGTGGTTATTGTTTTTTAATATTTTATTGTGACAACATATTCGTACACACATGTCGTGCTTCCTCTAAAAAACGCTTGGTCAAAAGGCTTTACAAAGATTAAAAAGCGGCAATCCCAAATTATTTATTACACGAGCAATTAACTCTCGAAATATGTCTTCTTGGTGACCCTGTTCGCAAGACGAAGCACCCACTGTTCATGCCTAATACTACTAAGGAAGTCCACAGACACAGACGAAATGCGTCAAAAACATGACCTCAAAAAACACAAAAAAGGTGGAACTGCAATGCACATAAAGCTGAAACAAACTATAAAGTGGTCTTATTACCAAATACCAAGACCAGTCAGACATTGATGATTGGAGGTGGTATTGGTTACCTATCACGACCAAAAACTTTCTTGAAGTTTCGTTAAGCTTGCTTTCCTGCATGGACACCGTAGTTGTGGGAAAGCAGACATCGGGCTTTTACAGGGAAGCTGTATGTGACTCACAGGTCTAATTTCTGGAATTTCTTCGCGTCGCCGTCTTCATGGAAACACAAAAGACAAATACCCTTCAGCGATTGATGCTAAACGTGCATATCACGCATACAATATACATCACGGCATTTGTTTTAATAAAGAACGACCACAATATAAGCATCCGAACCACATAATTGATGATAGGCACTCCTGATAACCATGCGAACAAAGTAGCGCTCACCGCATACATTTCACGGTAAAAATTAGAGAGTTTTAGAATAGCGCACGCTAAAGCTATGCGTACGCAAAGAACAGCGTCGTCGCCACTGCGCATACGCTGAACGCTAACCACGTTTAGCGCTTTGGGTGCGCTATTTTAGCGTGAGCTATTTCTCTGACATTGCGTGCGTATGCAAAGAGTCTTTGCGCTCCTCCAAGGAGGATTCGTGATGAAAAGATGGCTGAATCAAGATGAGCGCAGTTGAAAAATGGCGGCTCCCAGGACCATGTCTGCGGCCGCTTCGGCGGCGTCGTGAGTGCGACGTCGGCGACATTCTTGCGAGTGCAAATTTCAATGCGAGACGAATTGCACTCGGTCTGGCAACGATCATCGGCAAATTGATGCTTGCGACGCGCGAACATTTCACGGCGAAGGTACGAGGCGCGAAGGTCAGTACACGAGACCTCTCTTGCCGAGGCGACGCAAGCGGACACGACCAGTCGACCGCTCGCGTCGCATTCTCGTGTTTAAACAAATCTAAAGTGTTACTCTGGACCCAAAAACCTGTTTTTTCTCAAGTTACAACATTTTGTGTGTGAAGTAAAGATTGCGACTGTATCTTGGTGGCGTCGGAAGCGCGAGATTCTTCGGCTTTTGTGTCGCAGCAGAGAAAGGCTATTCTAAAACTCTCTTGCGTAGCGTGCGCCAACGCTAAATTTAGCGCTAGCGTGCGCTAAAATTGCGTACGTTATTTTAAAACTCCCTATTACTGTTGCGCAAGCTGCCGCAGCGACTGCAGCTTGCGACGTGGAGAGTTACGTCACTAGCCTTTTATATATAAAAAGTTTGTGGTACAGTGCCTTTACTTTCTTTCGTCAATCATTTGATATAGACCCTTTTGCTGTTTACAAACATGAACTGCCGCTTGCGTCCCAAGGAACTTCCGGTGGCACCGTCTTTGCAAGCCTATTGAGCTTGCATATGTCACCAGTGCTAGAAAGCATGTTAAACAGACAACAAACTTGGAGATTTCACGAGGGTCTTCGGCTGTACAATATTACATCTTAGAGGAGGCAGGTTGGTTAACAAGAATACTCTAGACATTTTAACAAATCTCAAACTCCTTCGTTCTTTTGGCGTTCGCCTGGATAAATAGTGGTTACACGTTTCATCTACATTTCAATCAGCGCTGTTACGGTTATGTTGATAATGCAATTTATGCATCGGGGCAAGCAAGCTGGACAAGAAGGACGATAATAGCCCCTGGAGAAGGGGAACACGGGGGACGAAGGACAAACAAACATTTCCGAACACAGCTGTTAAGGTGACCTTTGTTCATTTTTTTTATAAACCGGAAGTTCTCTGGGACGTCAAAGAATGGAACACTATCTGGTGGCGTTTGTCATAAAAAGGGTCTACAGTGCGGTGAGCGACCATTGCAGGTGATACCACAGCTCATAGCGTGGATTGGAGCCACAACTTATTTAAACCTTGGTTTTCTGCAAGGAATATAATCCTCTTAACGCTCTCCTCTCCTAAGCTGCGAGGAGAGCCAAGTCGGGGCAAGTGAAAAGTGGATAGGATGTATACGTAAGAACAAGGCGGGCAAAAGTGGAAAGCGCGAAGTGTACGTCGGACTTTTTGGAGAATAGTCATGCTCGTTGGTTCATCGCCAGTCATGTTCCGGTATCTCTTTTTTTTTTTTTTGTAAACCAAACTTTCCACAAATCTTCTGTTCATCTTTAAAAAAAATTGTTATATTGTCAGAGTATCTTTTAAGCTACATGTAAAGCTTATTGAACTGGTCGTGACAGTCTGTTACCACATGTTGCTTTGTTCAAGGAATGAGTCAAGTATTCTATCCCCTAACAAGAACTCTGTAAATCTTGTTACGTCGATAGTAACTGACAGGATGATGACGACAAAGCGTCTCTTTCGAACGCCCGGCACCCAGCACGCGCTCGCTGCTGTTCGTCGTGCTTTGGATGCTCGTGCACTCTCGAGGCCCACGAGATGCCAAAACGTTATATGGGTAACAAGCTCGCGCTGGAGGCGGGACAAATTAAACTCCACCCGCTGTTCCCACTCCGTCAGTGACTATAATATTAGTTAATTTGTTTTACATTGGTCATTATTGTATTGGGGCCAACGCGTCACCTATACTTGCAACACTGGAACTAAAACATCGTTCAGATACGTCACGCTCAGAGATGGGTGACATGGAATCTGGTCTGACGCGTCACGCTGCAGTACTCGTGTCACTTTAAGCTATATATGATGCGACGTCGCAAGTGGCCACGACACGACAGATTGCACTGAACGTGAGAAACGTGGAAGTTTGACCACGTCTACTAGTTACGTGATCCAGAGAGCGGAGCGAAAGAATGGTAGCGTAAATTTGCGAAGTGTTTTACCATTCTGCAAACAGAGTTTACACAACATCGGGACTCACATCGGGTGGAGTGAAGACATCATAACGGTCCGCGTTCTCGTCCATCAAAGAGGCGGTGTCTCGTGCCATCTGGCGGAGGTAGTCAAGAACTCCGATCACCTCCTCGCCTTCTTCGGAGTGGCCTCCCCTGCCTGTTTCGTTGGAGTCGTCCTTGTCTCCCTGTGATAATCAGAAACGCACATTCTGTTATATCAGTGTTTTTATTCGATCATTCATACTGAATAACGACAATGACTGCATGGCGTCCAATAGTGCCATCGTCACGATGTACAGGGTTAGATCGAGAAAATTATAGCCGGTTTTTCGGCCCGCATAAATAAACTACTCATCCCAGAGAGCTGAAACTGGGTGAGAATGTGAAGCTCACTGTGGTGACGAAATTTAAAAGTTTGAACCGATGACGTTACATGAATCAAGAGATTAGAAAAATTACCCTAGCCGACGTCTACCTCAAACACAAGTTTGAGAGCGCAGGCACCCGTAGCACTTATTTCATTAAAGCTAAACTTGTCAGTTAGATATACGATATAGTTTTTCTTGCTGGCGAAAACTGTTTACTAACATAAATGCTACAGGCGCCCATAAACTCATATTTTGGTTTGATGAATGTTAGGCTTAGGTGAACGTTGGCTTATAGGCAACCTGCAATGCTCTTTGGTTTGGCGCTATCAAGCAACTGAAGCAAGAAACATTCGGTATGTCTGGGAATGGCGGCTGCATTGTTCAAACGTGAGCTATTGCTCTGGTGACGCCACTGTAGCCTAGTGTCAAAAACAAGAAGTACTGGGTAGACCAGGAAACCGTCATCGCATAGCGTGCCAGTACGGCGGAGGCTACGGCCCTGATGGGCTAATCGGAACGTGATTACGTATCTCCAAACTACGCTTTTATCGCAAGGAAGTATCAGGGCTTTCGCTGCGTCATGCTCCTGTACGTGTGTGTTGCGATCGTATACGTAGCATATCGAAGCCGTCGGCACGCAATGTAGGGCTTATGGTTCACCCTTTCCCAAGTCACAACGAGACAGGGTTAACCATGGGCTCTCCCTTTGCTGGAGCCACCTGGCTGTTGCCGGCTGGTTATAGAGAAATATAGTTTTTCTTTGGTATCTATTGATTCAAGTAACGTCATGTGCCCAAACTTCCGCATCGTATCACCACCACTAACGTCACACGAGCCGATAAGCCGGGTTGCATTTTCTCGATCTATAGGGTGTTTGAAATAACAAAGTTCGATCTCAAATGGGCCGTAAAAATGGGCGACTGAGCGTAGCAATCTAAACTTTTTGTCAAAGGTGTATTTCACAGGTTGCTTTTATATCAAAAAATTATAAAGCGTAGCTTCCTTTTTGTAAAAATATGGGGCCAAAAAACTTGCAAGGGTCAACGGCGGAAGGCGAAGCAGACGACTGAGTGGAGTGGCGGGGCGCGTTGGCGCACGAATTGAAAGATGGCGCTACCACCTTATCGAAACTGCTCGCGACGACCGTGCTCTATTAAAATGAACATAATATTTTTAATGTGTATTTGGTTTAAAAAATAAATAATAGGAGAAAAACTTGAAGTAAAACTTAATTAAAGGATAACGCGGTTGCATAAAGACGGCGCTCTTGCTGACGACAACTTTCGTCTGCGTGTCGCCTGCTTTCGCTGGTCACCTTCCGACACTGCTCCCAACATCATCTATCGATTCGTGCGCCAAACGCGCACCGCCAATCGACTCGGCCGTCTGCGTCACCGTTCCACGTTGACCCTGTCAAGTTTTTTGGCCCATTATGTTTACAGAAAGGGAGCTACGCTTTGTAACTTTACAAGATAAAACCGACCTGTGAAATGCACCTTTGACGAAGAGTTTAGATTGTTACGTGCAGGCGCCAATTTTTACGGCTCATTTTAGATCAAGCCTCGTTGCTTCAAACACCTTATATATCACTGGAATGCTCTTTATACCAACTTATATGCACACGTTGCCCCAAAACTTTACACAGAAGTAAATAAAGTGAATTTCCTCGCTTTTAATGGCGTTACGGCTGCACAAACGCCAACGCAGTGCGGAAGGACCAAGCAAAGTTATCCGCTGGCGACTGTAGTCAGTCTTTGCTGCAGTTTATCTTACGTGAGCCAAAAGTAGGTAAATTCCTATTTATCAAAGCCTTCTGCATAACAAAGCCTTAGTGCTGAATATTCGGCGTCACCTACAGAAGGCCACCAGTTAGGACAGATTGAACTGAATGGCTGCGTCAACGTATGGTTGAGGCCAATCCTTCAAACAATGGAACACGAGCCTGAGCCGAATCTTCTCATTTCATTTTTGTAAGAACATATAACCATATTATTGAGTACGCTTCTCTGTAACGCGAAATTAGAGCGCAGCTCTTCAGGTATGTTGATTTTATGATATACCGTGGTAGAGAATTTGAGGCAGAAATATATAAACATATATATATATATATATATATATATATATATTTTATCTCTCGAATTCACTACAACACCACATCACAAAATCAAGATACCTCAAGAGCTGCGCTCTAATTTCGCATTACAAAAAAGCGTAAACGTCTGTAATTCTTTTTTTTATCATAGTTTTACGACATTTACCATCGAAAATCCGAGTATACACATTCAGCACTCCAAGTGGTCTTCCAGGCACACGCCACGAGTCAACGCGAGTTTGGCCATTTCGCTTACTGCGTTGTTTCTGTACCGTACCGCGTACGCCAATGGACTAAGTATACATCCCCCACTGACCTGATAGCGCCTCTTGGCGGCTCTCGCCTTGAGCGCTTCCTTGAGGGCGGACAGGGATGCAGCGGCGGCCTCGGTATCAGCAGTGTCGTCACGTTCGCCCACAACCTCGCCAGAGGAGAGCTGGGAGCTTTGAGCGGCCGGAATCTCCAGAGGAGGAAAGAAGACCTCGTCCGCAAACGTGGGAGGCACGCCTTCTCTCAGGGCCATGTTCGGCGTAAACCTGGGGAGCAAAGGTGGTAAGGCCACGCGTTAGTTTGACGTGCACTGTGCTCGAGAACCGTTCCACGCCGTGAGTTTCACGCGTCCCAAGAGTCTCATCTTGAACGAGTTTGAACTTGCTTTCTTTGTTCGATGGCGCAGGTTCTTTCGAAATAAGTAGCGGAAGAGTTGGGCTGTACAACACTAGAGCGCACGACACTAGAGCGCACGACACAAGAGCGCCGACAGTAGAGCGCCGCGACGTTAGAGCGCGCGCCACTAGAGCGCCGCGACGTTAGAGCGCGCCACTAGAGCGCCGCGACGTTAGAGCGCGCGCTACTAGAGCCCCGCGACGTTAGAGCGCGCGCCACTAGAGCGCCGCGACGTTAGAGCGCGCGCCACTAGAGCGCCGCGACATTAGAGCGCGCGCCACTAGAGCGCCGCGACGTTAGAGCGCGCGCCACTAGAGCGCCGCGACGTTAGAGCGCGCGCCACTAGAGCGCCGCGACGTTAGAGCGCGTGCTACTAGAGCGCCGCGACGTTAGAGCGCGCGCCACTAGAGCGCACGACACAAGAGCGCCGACAGTAGAGCGCCGCGACGTTAGAGCGCGCGCCACTAGAGCGCACGACACAAGAGCGCCGACAGTAGAGCGCCGCGACGTTAGAGCGCGCGCCACTAGAGCGCCGCGACGTTAGAGCGCGTGCTACTAGAGCGCCGCGACGTTAGAGCGCGCGCCACTAGAGCGCACGACACAAGAGCGCCGACAGTAGAGCGCCGCGACGTTAGAGCGCGCGCCACTAGAGCGCCGCGACGTTAGAGCGCGCCACTAGAGCGCCGCGACGTTAGAGCGCGCGCTACTAGAGCCCCGCGACGTTAGAGCGCGCGCCACTAGAGCGCCGCGACGTTAGAGCGCGCGCCACTAGAGCGCCGCGACGTTAGAGCGCGCGCCACTAGAGCGCCGCGACGTTGAGCGCGCGCCACTAGAGCGCCGCGACGTTAGAGCGCGCGCCACTAGAGCGCCGCGACGTTGAGCGCGCGCCACTAGAGCGCCGCGACGTTAGAGCGCGCGCCACTAGAGCGCCGCGACGTTAGAGCGCGCGCCACTAGAGCGCCGCGACGTTGAGCGCGCGCCACTAGAGCGCCGCGACGTTAGAGCGCGTGCTACTAGAGCGCCGCGACGTTAGAGCGCGCGCCACTAGAGCGCCGCGACGTTAGAGCGCGCGCCACTAGAGCGCCACGACGTTAGAGCGCACGACAGTAGAGCGCCGCGACGTTAGAGCGCGCGCCACTGGAGCGCCGCGACGTTAGAGCGCGCGCCACTAGAGCGCCGCGACGTTAGAGCGCGCGCCACTAGAGCACCGCGACGTTAGAGCGCGCGCCACTAGAGCGCCGCGACGTTAGAGCGCGTGCCACTAGAGCGCCGCGACGTTAGAGCGCGCCACTAGAGCGCCGCGACGTTAGAGCGCGCACCACTAGAGCGCCGCGACGTCAGAGCGCGCGCCACTAGAGCGCCGCGACGTTAGAGCGCGCGCCACTAGAGCGCCGCGACGTTAGAGCGCGCGCCACTAGAGCGCCGCGACGTTAGAGCGCGCGCCACTAGAGCGCCGCGACGTTAGAGCGCGCGCCACTAGAGCGCCGCGACGTTAGAGCGCGTGCCACTAGAGCGCCGCGACGTTAGAGCGCGCGCCACTAGAGCGCCGCGACGTTAGAGCGCGCGCCACTAGAGCGCCGCGACGTTAGAGCGCGCGCCACTGGAGCGCCGCGACGTTAGAGCGCGCGCCACTGGAGCGCCGCGACGTTAGAGCGCGCGCCACTAGAGCGCCGCGACGTTAGAGCGCGTGCCACTAGAGCGCCGTGACGTTAGAGCGCGCGCCACTAGAGCGCCGCGACGTTAGATCGCGCGCCACTAGAGCGCCGCGACGTTAGATCGCGCCACTAGAGCGCCGCGACGTTAGAGCGCGCGCCACTAGAGCGCCGCGACGTTAGAGCGCGCGCCACTAGAGCGCCACGACGTTAGAGCGCACGACAGTAGAGCGCCGCGACGTTAGAGCGCGCGCCACTGGAGCGCCGCGACGTTAGAGCGCGCGCCACTAGAGCGCCGCGACGTTAGAGCGCGAGCCACTAGAGCGCCGCGACGTTAGATCGCGCGCCACTAGAGCGCCGCGACGTTAGATCGCGCGCCACTAGAGCGCCGCGACGTTAGATCGCGCTCCACTAGAGCGCCGCGACGTTAGAGCGCGTGCCACTAGAGCGCCGCGACGTTAGATCGCGCCACTAGAGCGCCGCGACGTTAGAGCGCGCGCCACTAGAGCGCCGCGACGTTAGATCGCGCGCCACTAGAGCGCCGCGACGTTAGATCGCGCGCCACTGGAGCGCCGCGACGTTAGAGCGCGCGCCACTGGAGCGCCGCGACGTTAGAGCGCGCGCCACTAGAGCGCCGCGACGTTAGAGCGCGCGCCACTAGAGCGCCGCGACGTTAGAGCGCGCGCCACTGGAGCGCCGCGACGTTAGAGCGCGCGCCACTAGAGCGCCGCGACGTTAGAGCGCGAGCCACTAGAGCGCCGCGACGTTAGATCGCGCGCCACTAGAGCGCCGCGACGTTAGATCGCGCGCCACTAGAGCGCCGCGACGTTAGATCGCGCTCCACTAGAGCGCCGCGACGTTAGAGCGCGTGCCACTAGAGCGCCGCGACGTTAGATCGCGCCACTAGAGCGCCGCGACGTTAGAGCGCGCTCCACTAGAGCGCCGCGACGTTAGATCGCGCGCCACTAGAGCGCCGCGACGTTAGATCGCGCCACTAGAGCGCCGCGACGTTAGAGCGCGCGCCACTAGAGCGCCGCGACGTTAGAGCGCGCGCCACTAGAGCGCCACGACGTTAGAGCGCGCGCCACTAGAGCGCCGCGACGTTAGATCGCGCTCCACTAGAGCGCCGCGACGTTAGAGCGCGTGCCACTAGAGCGCCGCGACGTTAGATCGCGCCACTAGAGCGCCGCGACGTTAGATCGCGCTCCACTAGAGCGCCGCGACGTTAGATCGCGCTCCACTAGAGCGCCGCGACGTTAGAGCGCGTGCCACTAGAGCGCCGCGACGTTAGATCGCGCGCCACTAGAGCGCCGCGACGTTAGATCGCGCTCCACTAGAGCGCCGCGACGTTAGAGCGCGCGCCACTAGAGCGCCGCGACGTTAGATCGCGCGCCACTAGAGCGCCGCGACGTTAGAGCGCGTGCCACTAGAGCGCCGCGACGTTAGAGCGCGCGCCACTAGAGCGCCGCGACGTTAGATCGCGCTCCACTAGAGCGCCGCGACGTTAGAGCGCGCGCCACTAGAGCGCCGCGACGTTAGATCGCGCTCCACTAGAGCGCCGCGACGTTAGAGCGCGCTCCACTAGAGCGCCGCGACGTTAGATCGCGCGCCACTAGAGCGCCGCGACGTTAGATCGCGCCACTAGAGCGCCGCGACGTTAGAGCGCGCGCCACTAGAGCGCCGCGACGTTAGAGCGCGCGCCACTAGAGCGCCACGACGTTAGAGCGCGCGCCACTAGAGCGCCGCGACGTTAGATCGCGCTCCACTAGAGCGCCGCGACGTTAGAGCGCGTGCCACTAGAGCGCCGCGACGTTAGATCGCGCCACTAGAGCGCCGCGACGTTAGATCGCGCTCCACTAGAGCGCCGCGACGTTAGATCGCGCTCCACTAGAGCGCCGCGACGTTAGAGCGCGTGCCACTAGAGCGCCGCGACGTTAGATCGCGCCACTAGAGCGCCGCGACGTTAGATCGCGCTCCACTAGAGCGCCGCGACGTTAGATCGCGCTCCACTAGAGCGCCGCGACGTTAGAGCGCGCGCCACTAGAGCGCCGCGACGTTAGATCGCGCGCCACTAGAGCGCCGCGACGTTAGATCGCGCTCCACTAGAGCGCCGCGACGTTAGAGCGCGTGCCACTAGAGCGCCGCGACGTTAGATCGCGCCACTAGAGCGCCGCGACGTTAGATCGCGCTCCACTAGAGCGCCGCGACGTTAGATCGCGCGCCACTAGAGCGCCGCGACGTTAGATCGCGCCACTAGAGCGCCGCGACGTTAGAGCGCGCGCCACTAGAGCGCCGCGACGTTAGAGCGCGCGCCACTAGAGCGCCACGACGTTAGAGCGCACGACAGTAGAGCGCCGCGACGTTAGAGCGCGCGCCACTGGAGCGCCGCGACGTTAGAGCGCGCGCCACTAGAGCGCCGCGACGTTAGAGCGCGAGCCACTAGAGCGCCGCGACGTTAGGTCGCGCGCCACTAGAGCGCCGCGACGTTAGATCGCGCGCCACTAGAGCGCCGCGACGTTAGATCGCGCGCCACTAGAGCGCCGCGACGTTAGATCGCGCTCCACTAGAGCGCCGCGACGTTAGAGCGCGTGCCACTAGAGCGCCGCGACGTTAGATCGCGCTCCACTAGAGCGCCGCGACGTTAGATCGCGCTCCACTAGAGCGCCGCGACGTTAGAGCGCGTGCCACTAGAGCGCCGCGACGTTAGATCGCGCGCCACTAGAGCGCCGCGACGTTAGATCGCGCTCCACTAGAGCGCCGCGACGTTAGAGCGCGTGCCACTAGAGCGCCACGACGTTAGAGCGCGCGCCACTAGAGCGCCGCGACGTTAGATCGCGCTCCACTAGAGCGCCGCGACGTTAGATCGCGCTCCACTAGAGCGCCGCGACGTTAGAGCGCGTGCCACTAGAGCGCCGCGACGTTAGATCGCGCGCCACTAGAGCGCCGCGACGTTAGATCGCGCTCCACTAGAGCGCCGCGACGTTAGAGCGCGTGCCACTAGAGCGCCACGACGTTAGAGCGCGCGCCACTAGAGCGCCGCGACGTTAGATCGCGCTCCACTAGAGCGCCGCGACGTTAGAGCGCGGCGACGTTAGCGCGCGCGACTCAAGAGCGCTGCGACGTTAGCGCGCGCGACTCTAGTGCGCAGCGACATTAGGGAGTTTTAGCAGACCGTGTTTCCAACTCCGCTACGAAGAAACCGCCTCTGCGCCTGCATG